TTATGCCAAAGCAAGAGCTTGACATTCTGGATAGAAGGCCCCATAATAAATTATGGAGTTAAAAGCTTATCACATAATACCCATCAGTGTTCTCAAACAACTTGGACAGTTAAAACTTCGGGAACATAACAAGTTTCCTATTTATATAATAAAATCAAATATAATAGAGGTGTATACCAATTAAAGCTTCCCATGTGGCCAATATATAGTTTGTGAGGGTAATAAGAAAATTTAAAAAAGAATCGAAAATTTGAGGTGATTTGCAAGAAACCCTCTAAACTTTTGGAGGAAAGAGGGCATCATCATAATGAAAAGATGAGAGTAAAGGTGAAGTTGTCCTTCAAAAGATATTAATGTCATTTCATTCTATGCAGCTAGCTCCCCTCCATTATTCTCTCTCTCTCTCTCTCTCTCTATATATATATATATATATATATATATATAGATATATATATATAGAGAGAGAGAGAGAGAAAGAGAGAACGAAAATTTTCCTTAAACAATCAAAATTGCAAGAACAATTTTTTGAAATTAATGCATTTGCCCGTTAAAAACACAACTAGCAAAAATTAAAGGTTTTTGACCCACACCAAACAAACAAATAAAGTAATTTGATGGTTCAGTAAATTACTAGGTAAATTAATTGGTATAGGCTCAAAAGGATAGAAACATAAAGATGAAGAAAAATATATATGAAAATGATATTCATATTATGCAACAGAACTGATATATCTCTTCAATTAAATTATACATAAGAATATTTAGCAAATATTATCTCTTAATTATAATAATAATATTTTGTGAAAATTATCTCGTAATTTAAGACTTAATTTTTTATACTAACTATTCAGTTTTTTAATAGTATGCATATTGCATGTGTAGTTTAACTAGTCCATTTTTCAAGAAAAATTAACCTCTTAGTAAAATTGTAAAAATCTCCCCTTAAATTTCTCTTGTTTTCATCTTTTTCTTGACAAACCCCAGAACAGAATTTCCCACAAAGTTCAGGTGGAACTTTTCAAAAAATATGTTGTGTGAAACTCCTAAGTGTTTTTTTTTTGGATTTTCTCTATTTTTTAAAAGTTCAGACAGGTTTCGTGAAAAATCAACACAATCACAACGTTTTGTGAAATTTACCTTAATAAGAAACATAAAAACACATAATATAAAATAAATAATAGAAACCAACTTGAAATAATTGAGTAAATGATTGTTCAATCTTGATATAGCACATAATATGAGACCAACTCATTCATCCTTCCACTTTAACTTAGTAGTTCATACTAATATTAAAGCTCAACTAATGTTACTTGCAACTGATGCATGCATCACTCATCCTTGTGTTATATAATATCTAATTCAGAAACCAGAAAAGGGGAAAATTAACATAGATAGGTGTGTAAAATCAAGCGTGCATAACAACAAAAATGAGGGGGAAATGCTTTCAAAACCTAGGCCCTCTCAAGCGAGTGACACCCCCAAGTTGACTAGTTAAATATGAAACACGGTACAAATTTTCCCTCCACCTTTTTATGCCACTTTATTTTTAAAAATACTAATATCCTTGTATCCCTCTTCTTTCTCTTTCTTCCCACGACCCACCAGAAATGCAATGTCTTGCCT